TCTCTCTCTCTCTCTTTCTCTCGGTGATGGAAAAATAACTGCCAAGGCCATGTTTTTAATAAATTAGAAAAGTCCGGGACCGACGCAGCCCGCGTTAAATGTCGGACATACCTTTCTTCAATTCATAGGGAGAGTCTTTGCACAGGTCTAGCTGAGACTGGCTCCGCAACACTTTCGGGTCTTTAGCCAAAGCGTCCGCTCGGTTCAACACGGTCTGGTTTAATCCATTGAAATGAGACCCCGGACCGGTTGTGGGGCCTGGCCCAGGCCCCGGGTGGCCATGAAGGTGTCCGAAGGAGCCATAGTTCGTGTAGCCAGGATAGAAGGGCGCGGTGTAATAAAGAGGCCGGGACAGCACTGTCCCGCCCGGAAAAGGACACTGCGCCGAGGGCGAGCGCGATGGCGCCGGGGCCGGCGACGCACGGCTGCCTCCTAGGGCTTGCCCGGCTATGGGCCCGGGGCACGGTGGGCAAGGAGAGCCTTCGCTCCCGCCGCCCCCGTCCTTGACCTTGTCCGAGGATGTGGCGATCTCTGCCAGAGACCACAGTTTGGGCTTGGCGAGCACTGCCGGAGGCGGCGGCGGAGGCGGTGAATGGATAACCGAGGGCCCGCCGGGCCCCGGGGGCAGCTCTCCCGCGGCTGGATGCGGGCCGGATGCCGGAGCGCCCGTAGGGTAGTGAGGGGCCGGGTCCTCCGCCAGCCGCGCTGCCGCTGGCCCAGCCGGGGAGGGCCCGCCGGTGCGCGAGGGGCCCTGCAGCGCGTCAAGGCGGCCCTCTGAGGGCGGCTCCTTAAAATCCGAGTCGCTAAGGCTGCCCTCCGTCTCCTTGCCGGCGGGGGTAGGTGGCCCCTGCAGCCGTTCGCAGCCCGAAGCCTTCTGCTCAGCTCCTCCTGCGGGCGAAACCCTGGCTGTCAGAGGCTCAGAGGCTCAGAGGCAGTGCGGCTGGACCCGGTTCCCGCCCGCAAAGTCAGAGACCCTTGCCTCCAGCCTCCAGGCCCCGTGCGCGCCCCCTCCAGGCCCCCCTTTTCCTTTTTACTCCCGCCCAACACGCCCTTTCCCGGGTCCACCAACCTGCTTCGGGGCCCTCGGGGTCGCCCTTGTCCTCGGGCTTCTGGGGCTCGTCCTCGTCGTTCTTCTCCAGGTCGATGTTCTCCTCCTCTTCCTCGTCCTCGCTGCGGTTCCGCGGCGTCCACGTCATTTTGTTCTCTTTCTTGAGGCGCCGGCGCGCGTTGGCGAACCAGGTGGACACCTGGGTGAGGGTCATCTTGGTGATGATGGCCAGCATGATCTTCTCGCCCTTGGTGGGGTAGGGGTTCTTGCGGTGCTCGTTGAGCCAGGCCTTGAGGGTAGCCGTGGCGTCCCTAGTGGCATTCTTCCGGTACGCTGGGTCCCCGTAAGGGTACGAACCCAGGGGCGCCGCGTAGGGGTGGTACCCCAAGGAGCCCGCCATGCCGGGTGTGTGGTCGTAGGGAGAGCCCTGCAGTGGAGACGCAGAGAGGTGAGTGTGGGCCGTGGTCTCCACTGCCAGCGGAACAACCGAAGCACCCATTTCCCTGCGCTTCCCGGGGTCTGTGGGCGGACGAGGCCCGCACTCCAGCTTCCTCTGGGGCAAGGCTGGCGGAGTTCAGACCCAGGAGCAACTCCTCCCCTTCCTCAGAAGGCAGCCGGGCCTCAATTCCCGAGTCAGGTCCTTCGGGGGCTCCTGAAGCTGTCCCGGCCTCAGTGCCACTCCGTAGGCCCCCATCTGCCAGGGCACGTCCTTACCCCGCGCGCAGATCTGGCCACAGTGGCCGGGCCCTCGATCCAGATAGAGGCCTGGGCAACTGAGCCGACTCCGCGCCCGGCGCGGGAGCGGCCGCACGTTGGACGCAAGGGGGAAAACAAGGGAAGTCAAGGCTCTTTTCTTTTTCCAACCCGCAAAGAAACGCAGAGGAAAACCTGAGCCATGCCCCGGCACTCCCACCCTCAAAAATGCTACCCCAGACCGAAGTTACCACCCGGCCGAAAAATCCCGGATGCACCGCAGGTCGACCGACTTTTCAGAAATTTAATACCCCCAAATCGGATTGCGAAGATAGGATTACGGATTTGCAACATTTTGGAGGACTAATTAAAGGCTAGGCCAAACACATTTACATAGACTTAGCATGCTTCTGCTCAAATTCCGGGTCTATTTCTTTTGAACTACTTTTCCAAAATAACAAAACCAAAAATATGAAATTTGCAGGGCAGCTGGAGCTTACGTTTACACCAAATGCTGCTCTTTAATTGCAGCTACCTTTCCCCCCAAAACCCCTTCCCGCCAGCAAAGCGATCCCAGCAAGACGCGGCTCTCAGTCCGAGCAACTCCTGAGTCCGAGGCCTGGGAGAAGCCGGGGGAGACAATCGCCCAAGTTTGCGGGGGCAGCGAAGCTTGGCGGGAGAGGTCCGTGTTGGCGCCTAGGCCTGTGTCCCCCTCCGCCCCCGCCCTCCCGCCGGGCCCCGGCTGCCCTCGCCCCTCGCCCGCCGCGGATCCCGCTCACTTACCACGTATGAAGAGAAGGCGGCGGCGGCGGCGGCCGCGGGGTCGGTGCCGTACTGGAGGTGCGAGTTGTATCCCGGCGAGGGCGCCGTGAAGGCAGTCGAGCCAGCGTAGGGCGAGAACGCGGAGCCCGAAGACGACCGGCCGAGCTCATCCGTGCGGGGCCCTGAAATGACGCTGGTGCTGTACGCCGGGCACGAGTAGAGCGCCAGCGAGGCGGACGGCTGGTACAAGTAGCCCTGCGGGTAGGACATGGCCACACACGGGCATGGGGCGCGCCGCGCCGCGGCCGCCAACGAGCCGGGCGGCGCCCTGCGAGGGCGAGCCGGCGGGCACCTGGCCTCTGGCTAGCCTGGGCCGCCGCTCCTCCGGCCCCGGCTCCGGGGCTCCGGCCCGCGGCGCCTCCTCGCTGGCTTCCCGCGCGCCTCTGGCTGCGACCGCCGCACCCGCTCCTCTGCGCGCCTCGCTCGCCCCAGCTGGGCTTTTTTTCCCCTCCCCTCCCTTGCTGCTTTCTCTTTTTTCCCCTCGCTCTTTGCACCGGGGGGCTCTGCTTTTGGCTTCGCAAAGGTCCTGCCAAGATGCTAAGTTGGAAATTGAGGATTCTGACGCCTTGTGCGCGCCCGAAGCTCCTCCTTCCCGGGGTGTAGTCGGTGGGAGGACTGGCAGGAGACTCTGGGCGGCCGCAGCCAACCCAGCCGCCAGGCGCGCCTCGCCCTCTCCCTCTTCCTCCCCGGCTCCCTCTCCCGCTCGCTGGCGCTCCTCTCGCCCCTCCCTAGCGCCCGCCTCCCCTCCGCGGCCCCCCTCTTCCCCCTCCTCTTTGCCTCCCCTTTTCCCCTCCCCGGTCTCTCCCTCTCTCTCTCTTTCTCGCTTTCTCTCAGACTCTCGAGCGCCGGCCCCAGGATGACAATCACATCCTAGGCGCGTCGATCTCTTCCAACTTTCCTCTCCTGCTAACTCAGGGAGGAGCAGCAGTTCCGACGCACTGCTAGCCGTGTAGCGGGTCGGGCCACCCCGAAGCACAAAGAGGACGAGGCCGCGGACTGTGCGCTGGCGAAAGCTCTGCGCTCTCCTAGCCACAGTAGATCTCGGAGTTAGCGGGCTTCTTGTTCTTCCGCAGGCTGGGCTCCGAGGCCGTTCGTTGCTCACTCCCTTCTGGCTCCTTCCCCAAGCCAGGGGTCCGAGAGCCAGCTGGAGATCCAGAATGAAGGTCTCTGGGAGGGCCGGTGGATGGCCCGCGCCCAGGGCGCAGGAAGTCCGGGAAGACTGCCACTCCGCTCCGGCAGCAGCAGGTGGGCGAGAGGCAGGCCTCAGACGACTGCAAGTTCGCCTTCCTTCCACCGAACTCCCTTCCCTGCCCCCCCCCCCCCCCCCGGTCAAACGAAGAGACACTGGGTGCCTGGGACTACGGAGATAGCCTTTTTCTAGAGGAAAAGTGGTGGGAAAGAACTGCCAGACAGAAAATTAGCGACACCCGAGGAGGTCTCGGGACCTTCCCTAGCTCCACTCCCACGCCTCGCAGCCTCTTTCTCCCGGCTTTCCATCCGCTCGCCGCTCGCATCGCCTAGTCGGTGGTGGTCGAGGGTGCGACCCCTTCCCTTTTGTTCAACTAAGTTGCGTTCCCTTCGCACGCACTCTCGCACCCGCCCACGCTCCACTGCAAACACTGGGCAGAGCAGTGCCCAACCCAACCACTGTTTGTTCAGGCGCTGGCGAGGCAGCAAACACACACAACTGAGTCAGAGGTAGAGCCCTTGCCCAAGACGGCCACACAGTTAGAATACAAAACAGACCCTCTCCCCTTCTCTCCACCTCCCGCCGCCACAAGCCACGGACGCACTCGAACTCTGGGACAGACAGGGGCGCTGGTGAATCAGGACAGAGGCTGGCACAGGTTTGGGCACGCCGCGGAAGCTCGGGATATAGGGGACTTCGCATAATGGGGCCACACGGAAGCCGAAGCATAACTATATACAAAGTTTCTCTCATTGACTTTGACAGGCTAGATGTACTGTATTTCGTGAGCTCACACTACCCACACACCCTCCCGCGGCACCAACACCCGCTCGCGGCGCACCCTAGTGCTCGCGCGCCGGCTCCTCCCCTCCGTCGGCTCCCTCCCCTAGACACCGCCCACCAAGAGGACGGACCAGTTGACTACATTCTCCGAGAACCCCTGGGTCCGCCCAGCCTAGTGCCTGACACCTCCTTCACCTATGATTGGGCGCTGGCCTCGCTGGGCTCCGCCCACTGGTGACGTAAGCCCACTTTCCTTCGAGTCCTGGCGCCAAAGGGGCGGGGTGGGGCGGAGCTTCGATCGCGCTATTGTCATGGAGACGGGAAGCCGGCGGCAGCGGCGGCTGCGACCGCGGGGCCGAGGTGGCTGCCAGCCGGCCAATGCCTAAGCGAGACAGAGCGGCCCGGGCGGCCCGGGCGGCCCGGGCCTGGGGAAGCGCGGAGCCGACCAGTGGCGGCCTCTTCCCGGGTTCGCGGTAGGCCCGGGTCGTCGCAGGGAGAGCCCCGCAGCAGCGTCCCCGCCCTGCTCCCCTCGCTCCCGCCTCTCGTGGCCCCGCGGCCCCTCAGCGCCCGCCCCCGGCTCCGCCCGCCGCCGCCCCTGCCCGTGGCGCTAACGGTCGCTAACGGCCCGCGCGCGCCGCCCGCCGGGGGCTCGCGCCAGCCACGAGGGAGCGTCCGCGGCCTGCGCGCCCGCGCGGCGGAGGAGAGGTGAGCCCCCTCCCCGGCCGGACCCCCTGGCCGCGCCGTCCGCCCCTCGAGCCGCGGCCCCTCGTGGGCCGGGAGGACGCGGCGTTGCCCGGCGCGCGGACAGACGTCCCGTGTGCGAGGACCTGGGCCTGGGGCGGCGTCGGCGCCTGACGCGCCTCTCGGGTGTTGGCGTCCCCGGGCTGGCACGCGTGGGCCTGGCCCTTTGGTCCACGCGTGTCACCCCCGTCGCCGCGGCTCTGGTCCGAGACGCGGCTTTCCGGAGTGGAGCCATGGAGGTTTGTGCCAGCGAGAACCCGAGTCTGTCACACAGACATCCTCATTACATTATCCTGCCACTCCGGCCGTCGCGCTCTTTCCCCCACCCCAACCTCCGCCCCGTGGCTTCTTTTTGGTTGGTTTTTAAATTTTTCTAACCTCTTTTCTTTTACTGTCTTCTTTTTGATGTCAAGGGCCGGAGAGACTCTTGCAAGATATTGAGGCATTTAGAATGTATGGTTCTGTTGCCGTGGTTGTCGCCTCCGCTCTACGTCAAATTTAAGACTCATTTCTTAAGGATGTCTCTATTTTCTGCTTTATTTGCACATTGATGGCTCTGCTGCTCGGCTGGCCACGGCCGCTCGGCGTCTGAGATAGAATTGTGTTAATATGAGAAGGGAAAGGGCGGATCGTGATTAGCAGGCAGACGGCATGCAGATAGCATCTGGCGGGTTTTCTCCGTTTCTATATGAAAGCGTTCACTTTTTTGCTGGTAAACACGAGATTTTAACTTTTTATTGGGATAGTAGTGACGATATGTTTCACTCTCCCCTCTTTCTTACTTGCTGTTTATCAGCTTTTCCGTTTGGGAACCTGCGTACTTCTTAGCGGTAGTTTCATTGGTCTCTTGACTCTGAAGCTTTCTCTTCCAGCAGAGGTGGGATCTGAATCCCTCCCGTCCTAGGTTACCAAGACTTTTCCCCCTTGCTTTCTGTTGCATTTGTATCTTTACAAACATTTAAACTTACACTAGGGATAGGTTTGCTCATGTTATTTTTAACGTAGGACTATTAAATATTCTCATTTTAAAACTTCCTAAAGGTTTATTGGTTTGTCATGTCTGCACGGATCCAGTTACGCATAACTCTTAAATTTTAAAGCTTTAAAGTACGATTCGCAATTGTATTGCCAAGACATGGCCCTAAGAGCTTGCTCTTCAAGTTTTGTCTGTACCAGTTGTCATTGTTTCAGTCAAGTGCAAAAGAGGTTATTCCTGTTTATTTAGTGTAATAGCTGTTTACAGTTAAAACTTTAAAGACTCATAAAAGTAGGTCTGCTGTATTTTAAAGATCTCATCATTCTTGTGGGAGAGACACAACACCAACACCAGGAAAGGCAACAGATTGTTTCTGTCATATCGCTTTGCTGTTTTGGAGTGTACTTAAAGGATTATGATTGATAAGGCTGTCTTGCCAGAGAATGTTGACACAGGTGTGCATCGTTATCTTAATTAAGATCCTGAGAAAATGTTGTCTATAAATGGGGACATAAGAAGGGCGGCATATTTTTGTACAGTTTTGCTTTTGGAGAATTTAATTGCACTTGAAACCTGTCTTTGAGGCTCCAGATTTTGTGAGCACTTTGGCAAGAGAAGTTTTAGAGAGAAATGATAGTTTAATGTTAAGTGTTCTAGCATGTACTAATACTACTTGTGGCTTTTTGGCAATGCCTGTGTCGGCTTTCTTTGTGCTCTACGTTTGTGGAATAATGGTTTCTAATTTCGAAAGAAAAGCATAAAATAGAGCAGTATTTTATTAAGCAAACACATATTAGTGTTCAGAATAAATCTGTAGAGGAAGGCATGCTTAATGTGCAGAAACAGGAATATAATAAGAGGTAAACATAGAAATTTATGCTATTTCGTTTTTTGGGTTTTTTGTTTGTTTGTTTGTTTGTTTTTGGAATAGAAACAGTCTCCTGGGGTGCATTAATGATCTAAAATAATTTCTTTTTTATATCACTCAGTACCTAGCTACAATATTTACCGAATGCCTTGTTTTTATTTCCAGAAACAGAAGAAAACCGTTTTATTTCTTTCAGAATATTGTTCTGTGCATTTGAATTGATGAGTAAGTGAAGATAAAACATTTAGCCTCTTATTAGTTTAAGGATCTGAGTCATAACCTGGGTGACCACTAAAATAATATTATTGTTCTTTACTCCAAATCTCGGAATGCAAAAACACTGGCAAGATGGATGCTGTTGATTATATTGCCCTTGGCTTACCCAGCACCTAATACCCTTTAACATAAGTATTGCATTAAGATTTTCCCCTCTCTTTGTAGCTCATGATTTCCTGGAAGCTGGTTGTCTATCAGTATGTATGTAAGAAGTGTGTATGTTTTTCTTTAATATTAAAACTCATTGCCGAAAGAGGAAATGAAAGTGGAGACCATAGGCATATGATCGGAAAAGCCAGGTGTAGAGTCACAGCTCATTCTTGACTCCAAGGATAATTAGCTGGTTAGAATTACACGGTAAACTAAAAGAAAGATTTATGTAGACTTGTTTGCTAAAACTAAAAAGAAGAGCATTAATTTTGAGATAATTGCTTTATTTATCCCCATACCATCTCCAATCAAAATTTTCTTTTTCCTCTGGCAGCTATGATGAGTGGTATCCTTATGCTGTTATCATGTGTTATTTTCAAATTTTATATATTGCATTAAAAGAGATGAAGCAGGAATATGAACTAATTATCCGTTTTAATGAATAACTCATAATTATTATTATATGTATACATTCTAGAAATCTTAGGAAAAAAATGTTCTTTAGTTGATAACAGGAACGTAGATGAAATCATGTAATCCTGAGTGAATTAGACATACTCTTCAAAATACATTATGAACATAGCATCATACTTTGGAATAATGCTTTAAATTTGGGGCAGTACAGCCTGTTTTGAGTGGTAGTATCTCATTATCTTTGTATATTTCTCTTCAGTATCTCTTTTGTGTTGACTCTTATATTTTAACATCTTTTTGGTATAGTTCTTAGTTATTTATAGGGAATAATTTTTCTTAGTAAAATAGCAGCTGGTGCAACTCTAAGAACATGTCAAATGCAGGAATTCTTTTTTCCTTGCTCAATGTCTGGTTTGCTTTCATAGCATTACTGCAAAGTATGATGCTGAAGACTTATTTCTGCATAAATCTGCAGTGTTTTTATAGCTATAGTATACCTAAGCACCAATTTAGCTTAGCAAATTAACTTAGATGCTTCAAAATTGAAAACCAGTATATTCTAATGTAGTTTGAGTTTAAGTCTTTATTAGTAAGGATACATTTAACATTTGTTCTGGAGAAGAGAATGTGATTTTCTCCTGCAGTTGTCATTTACTTAATCCATTTTTCTCATCTTTTCTCAGGCTAATGATATCCCACACCTTAATATAGCTTTTATTTGTTTATTTGCCATAATATGGAGTGGTACCTTGGAGAAAATTAGATATTCGTATCTAATATCCCAAAAGTATTATTACTTAGTTTTCTGTGTTTCCTTAAACAGAATCATTTCCATTTTCTGTGCAGGTGATAAGTGTGATGCTTCCATAATACATTTGGATGTTGTCAGCTAAGTTCACTTCTGAACTGAGGGGTTCCTCCACGTTGGCTGAAATTTGTCCTTGCACATCCCAAGGCTCATCTGCAAGTGAGTGTCTGCGCACAGTTTGCTTGTACGTGGAGTCAACCCAAAATAGTATCAATGTGGGTTTTACCAAAGTATTTATATTGATAATACGGGCTAAGTACAGAATGTAGAGAACGTTAGTTACTTGAGGCCTTTGATTACTAAAAATTTTGATTAAACAAGAATACAGTAAATAGAAAAATTTTAGATTTATGCAGTAAAACTGAATAATTTATTTTTCCTTATTTATCATGGAATTACTTTGAATAATTTATTTTTAATGGTATAATTGGACAGTAAAATTTACAAACTCAGTGCTTTTCATAAAAATGAAAGTGAAGGTTCTTATATTTTATACAAATAGAATTATTATTTAAGAGAAATAATCTGTTTATGCCTAATCACAGTTTTTAATAATTTCAGTTGCCTAGTTCTTTTAAGAATAAATTTAGTGAGAATATCAGTTCCAGTCATGGGTACCCAACTTTTTTAGTGACAAAGTACACACAGGTATATAAAACTTGTCATTTCTCATCAAATAGAGGCTGCTGAATATAGGCGGATAAGAAAATCTATGAGAAAGAATTATTTTGCAGAATATTTGTTTTGTCTAGTGGTCAGAGTAAGGAACTGAATTTATTGACACAGAACATCTTATTAAGTAAAAAGAAAAAAAGATTCTTATCTAACCCCTGCAAAAAAAAACTCATTTTACAGAAGGCAGTAGTTAGTATAGACTCCAATAGAATAAATGTTTCTCTGTGAATACTTTCCGAGACATTACAGTGATTTTTAATGTAATATGAAGTGATATATAATAATTTTAAAATAACATCCTTGTGTTTTCCTATTACTGATTGCTTATGGAAATTGGGTTTCATGTATGACTGAGAGTTAAAGTGTTACATACAGTAAGTTAAAAAACACAGGGCAAATATAAAGAAAATGTTAGGCAGTGAGCAATCTGATTCCTTTTTGTTTGCCTTTAGAGTTAGTTTTTTATTTTGTTTTACTTTGTTTTAAACCACGTATAAAGTTGTTGAATTTTTTTAAAAGATAAGAGGATTGGGTGTTTTTTTTCTTTTCCTCCTGAG